GCCCAGACTGGAGTGCAGTGGCTGCTCCCGGTCACCGCAGCCTCGACCTGCTGGGCTCTGGTGATTCTTCTGCCTCAGCCTTCCAAGTAGCTGGAACTACAGGCGCGTGCTACCACAACCAGCTAATTTTTTGATTTATAGAGATGTGGTCTCACCAAGTTGCCCAGGCGGGTCTCAAACCCGCGGGCTCAGGCAATCCACTCACCTCAGCCTCCCAAAGGTGCGGGATTACAGGCTGAGCCTGACTCCTTCTTTTTTTTTTTTTTAAGAGCCAGGGTCTCACTCTGTCACTCACCCAGGCTGGAGCACAGTGGTATGAACATAGCTCACTGTAGCCTTGAACTCCCGGGCTCAGGCAATCTTCCCATCTTAGCCTCCCTAGTAGCTGGGACTATAGTCATGTGCCACCATGCCCAACTGCCTTTTTTGGTAGAAATGTTGCCCAGGCTGGTCTCGAACTCTGGGGCTGTGATCCTCCTGCCTTGGCCTCCCAAAGTGCTGAGATTACAGGTGTGAGCCACAGCACCAGGCCCGGGGTTTACATTTTTAAATACAGATGCACTGTTTCTATTTTCCATGAATACTTCTTACCTGCTCACATCTTCGTGACTTAAACTACTAAATAGCAAAAGCCAACTGTATGAGAGGCAAAAGGAGCTGGTCAGAGAACCCCCCGGGGGTGTAATTTTCTAAATAAAACATGCTTCTGCAATCCCTTCAGATAATAAATGATAGAGCACCCAAGAGCTGGACCCTGAATCACATTTCTTTTGTGATAGGTACAATGGACTCTTCCGGTCTAGTTACAAGTAAAGGCACAAAAGAGGATAAATCTGAACTAAGCACAAACTACCCTCAATGCACTTTTCCCAGTCGCCCCCTCGATGTTCCCTCCAGGGCTCGTCCTGACTGCACCTCGCACCCACCCGCCTCCGTGTGTGCCAGGACCAAGGCCAGTCTTGGTATTTTACTCCACTTCAGGGTTCACGTGGAATCCAATAGACAATTCGCTTAAGTGACACAGGAGCCAGGGACAAATGAGAGTGGGCGAGGACTCACCATCACCAGGTTGACCAAGGACACGGCGTTGAGACTGATGCCCCAGAGCCACATGACTCCGAACATGTTGACCAAGATCATGGCGATGGTGGCACACATGAGGACCGCGGACCACAACTCGCAGCCCAGGAGGACCATGGTCACCAGAAATATCGCGCCCAGGGACGTGCCCAGGTTGAAGATCGTGTCGTTGATGATGGTCAGGTACTGTTCGTAGAAGACATAAAACACACTAGAGAGGAGGGGGAGACCCATTAGAGCTTGCTCTCACTCCTGGTGTCCCACTGCTCATCCTGCCACCACTGCAAAGCTGTGAGATGCTCTGAGACATCCCGAGCAGAAGGACTCCTGGGATGTTCGCAAGACTCACCTGAAGTGATTCCCCAGGACCCTTAATGGCCACTTAACACCCAGAGAGGGGCCTTATGATGATATAACATGCATATTTATATAAAGGCCCAACCTATGCCACTTTATAGAGACTTAACAGAGAGTATTTCATGGCACTGAAAACAAACCAGGCCGGGTTCAGTGGCTCAGCCTGTGATCCCAGCACTTTGGAAGGCCAAGGCGAGTGGATTGCCTGAACCCGAGTGTTTGAGACCAGCCCAGGCAACCTGGTGAGACCTCGTCTCTACAACAAATAAAAAACTAGTCGGGCGTGGTAGCACATGCCTGTAGTTCTGGCTACTTGGAAGGTTGAGGCAGAAGGATCATCTGAGCCCAGGAAGTTGCTCTGCACTCCAGCCTGGGCAACAGAGTGAGACTCCAACTCAAAAAAAAAAAAAAAAAAGAAAACAAACCAAAACAAATCCTGATCTACCCTGAGAATACCTCAGGCCAAGTGGGGTCTGTGCTGGTCTGAGGAGAAAATGCTCATTTATTTATTTTTTTGGCAAAGTTAACCAGTTCTTTCTGGGAACTAGGATACCCACTCTGAGAAGTTCTTCCAAGGAAAAACATGCTGTCCTTCTTTAAAAGCAAGATCATGGGGGTGGGGGGAAAAATCACCTGTTTCTTCAACCTTTCTACAATGTCCAAATCCAGTCTTTCATACAGAATGCTTTTCTTGCCAGGAAGAAAAAACCCAACATGAAAAAGAAAAGTCTCCATGAAGCCCCTGTCCCAAATAACTGGCATTCGGGGGGACTGGTTGGTGGCTGGCCAAAAGCGTTGGCCCAGCCCCTCTGTGAAGCCTGCTCTCCACACACCCCCTGCCTTGTCACAGCATGTCTCCTGCAGGTCGTCAGGTCGGGGAGCACAGAGGTCAAGTTCTGTGCCTCTAGCCCCCAGGCCTTGGTAGGGGCTCAAGATTCTGCCCCCGCCCCAGCATGCCATTTCCGTGACATACTTCACCTGGGCTCAGAATGGAGCTGGTGGTCAGCACCAAAGCCGAGGCTCAGCATCCCACCTGGGAGCCCCCAGGTGTTGGCCCTTCCCTGGAAACCCTCGCTTATGAAGCCCAGGCTTTACCTGTATGGAAACACGCGATAATGACTGCCATTGAGGCCCATGGTGGCGGTGATGTTACTGGCAATAAGCCGGGCTTTTTTCATGGCGTCAATGAAGTCAGCGGAATTCTGAAGCACAGTGTGGTAGGTCATGAAGTACGTGGCACCTACCCCAGTGTCATTGCCGAGGATGTTAACAGCTGAGCTGTAAGCGGCATGGCCCCTGAAGGAAGAGTCAACGGGCATCAGAGGACATGCCTGCCTGTGGAACACCCGCAGAAGCCAAGCACTCGGGGTACAGCAGAACCACCCGACCCTGGGCTCAGAGGCCATGCCTAGCCACGTGCTCAGGGTGAAGGCCTCCTGTTGAGGACACGCTGGTGGCTCAGGGGTCTCTCCCAGAACGGCTTCTCTTTATTGTTTTGGTTTCTTTGGTGCATAGCTCTGTTGTTTTTCTATCTGGTTCGACTTGTAATCAAATACACAGTGTTTACTCAGTCCTGTTATGTAACAGGAGGCAGCCAAGGGCGTGGGGCCCGGAGTCAATCTCAGCCCTGCCACTTACAGGCCACGTTATCCCTGAGCAAACCCACTCGGAGCTTCAGTCTCCTCTTCTGTGTGCTGGGTGTAACAATACCTCCTCACAGGCTGTGTGACAACACATGACATGTGTCAGGGAGGTGACGGCATGACACTGACACACTGGAGGCAAGCAGAAATGGCCTGTTGTGCTCATGAAAACTGAGTTCATTTCACCTTGCTGTATGTAGGCCAAAGCATGCAGCCTATAAGCAAACCATGCTGTAGGACTCACTTCTATTTTTATTTTAGGGATAGCTGTCCCATGGTACCTAGTATAGGTCTCAAAACACAGACATGGTATGTCTGATTAACTGACATGACTCTGGGAAAACGTGTTCTTATGAGGAACAGGTATGTCCAGGTTTACCTAACACACATGTGGGTACTCATCTTCTGCCTACAAATGCTTCCAAACCAACAGAGACTTCTGTCGCCCTCATGATTTCCAGGCCAGAGCATCTGGCTCCTGTGGGTAACGGCTGCCTGACTGGATAGGGGTGGGGGGAAGACAGCCCACCGCCTCACACCTGGACCGGCTGGCAAGGAGCACGGTAGGCTACAGAACCGAGCCAGAATCTGGGATGATGTCACCAAAGCAAGATACTGTCCCGCACACCACCAGCAAAACCAAACAGAATGCGTTCTTGCAGTTTCTGAATCATCAGTGTGCTCGTCCTCTCCCCATCCCCCAGGAATGTGCACGGGACTCCGGCTTCATTGCTGTGTCCAGGGGCCCAGGGCACAGAGAAGCATGAGATGCCCAGGAGTGCCCCAGCTAGGAGGGATCAAATGAATGCAGAGGCACTTCTGGTTCCTTTCCTGTCACAAAAGGACGGGACAGGTGGGGTGGGGAGAGGACTTTCCTACACATGCCTTACCCCCACCCTCTCCCCATTGGCTCCTGCAGTTACGGTGCCAAGGACATTTATCCGAAAGGGCTCAGCACACTTACCCTTTGCCACACTTGGGGTTGGGGTTGTCCGAGAGGAACATGGGCAGGAATCTCATGAAGTCCCCGCCCTGAGGCCTCTGCTTACCCTCTGGGGTCAGAGGCCTACAGCGGACACAGGTGGGGTCCACCACTGGCGAGACGAGAGGGAGGAGCCAACTGTTAGAAGGGCAGGCTTCCAGCATTACTGATGATGAGGGAAACTGCTTCCCTGAGTCTGTCCCCTTATTCAACGGCTTCAGCCACAAGTGACTTTCAGTTTAATCGGAAATACTGTTTCATCTTAGGCAAACTATACTACATCTTTTCCCCTGAGGCTTCAGGGATGACCTTGATTGGTATTATTGGAGCCCAGTGCTCCAGGTTTTTTTTAAGAAAATTCCAGGACAACATCAATGCTCTCACAAAACCATGGACAAATGATAAACAAAGGAAGGCATGCCTCTAAGAGGCTAAGGCCAGACACAAATCCAGAGGTAGTCGGTGTCATCAGGACAGAAGAAGAAAGCTAATCTGGAAGCCAGAGTCCCCAACATGGACCCTGTACAGACTTCCCTCTCGGACCTGAGACAGAAATGACGTGAGAAGAAAGGGATGGTGACAAAGGGAATGAGACCCGGTGCTGGTATATAAATAGGTATAAACCAGCCTGGGCAACACAGTGAGACCCCGTCTCTACAAAAATCAAAATCAAAATATTAGCCAGGCATGGTAGCACGTGGCTGTAGTCCCAGCTACTTGGGAGGCTGAGGTGGAAGGATTGCCTGAGTTGAGGAAGTTGAGGCTGTGGAGAGCCGTGACTGGGCCACTGCACTCCAGCCTGGGCAACAGAGTGCGACTCCAACTCAAAAAATAACAATAGACAGGTATAAACCGAGGCAAAGTGCAAATGGTTTTTAAATGACAACATTCAATTTCTCCAGAAAAGGGGGAAAGATGTGGAAAGGCAGATGGAAGTACCCGAAGCATTGCAGAACTGCTCTGTGATGTTGTAGACCCTGCAGCAGGAGGACTGCGGCTTCACCCAGTCGAAGTAGTCGTCGAGCCAGGACGAAGGGGCAAAGCCGATTCGGGTGCTAGAGAGATGGAGAGAGCGTGCATCACGGACTTGCTCCAGAGAGGAGGCCTTCCGTTCAGTACTTTTTCTTAAAACTTAACTTGCTTCCCTCTACTTTCTGCAGCTGCTGCTCCCAAAAAACCCCAAAAAACAAAAACGACACTAGCACTTAATGGGAAAAACCTTCAAAGTATCAGGTAGTTAGTGAGTCCTTTCCTAGGTTTTAACCAAGTAAAGATAGATTTAAAATACAATTTGAATAAAAACTTCTCCAAGAAAGTCTATTTTCAGTGAGAGAGTTCAGGCCCGAGCCGCCCCCTGGCCGCATGCCCCTCCCAGCTGCTTCGACGGGAGGGGAGCCACAGAGGGGTACTGACTAGTTGTCCAGCTGGGCCGCGTTGAATATCTGCTGCACCAGGGAGTCGTTGTTGCAGCCCATGCCGCCGCACACCATGTTCTGCCCCGTGGGAGATGTGTAGTCGTGCCCCTCCTCCAGGACGAAGTACACAGGGGGGCCCGCGTGCAGGTACTGACTGATGGCCTTGAAATAATCCACCACGTAGGAGTCCTGAAAGACGAAAGAACAGAAGGAACTATGAACACTGAAGGAACTACGCAAGACAAGGAGCCTAAAAGGATGAAGAGGAGGCTCCTGGCTGAGACGTTGCCAGCCTGGACTTGGGGTTCCCGCCACAGCCAGTCTCCCCCCAGGGGGGCTCCTCCTGCAAGTCCCACAGATGGGGCACCTTGTAAGGTAACCTCCTGAGACTGGCTGCTGCCTGTTCTGTGGCTGTGCCCAGAGGGTGTGAGAGTCCACACCGGCAGAGCTCTGGGGCAGTTCTAACATCAGAGAGCTGTCACCATCTGCATTTAGAAGCAGGCGTTAACTTACAACACCCACATGCAAGTTTCGAAAGATTTATTCATCACCAGCTAAAAAAGCTGAAATAAACAGCAAGCCTCTCACATCTGGCATCGAAAGAGACTGATCCAAGCCAATTTCGACTTTGTTCAGGACCGCGATGCTGAACGACAGAACCCCCACAAATACTGCGATCTGAAATGAAAAGCAAAGTGCAAGACAGCAATCACTGAGTGCAATAAAGAGCTTAAGAACAGAAATAAGATCTTAAACACGCACAAAAAAGCAGGACTTTTCTAAACTGAAAAGCAAGTTCAAATGACATGCTAAGACATCAGGGAGCACAGGGCAGTGGTTGCCATCAAAGCGCACAGAGTCTGAGTTCCTGGGAGGACAGGGGTGGGTGAGCCATGGAACCTCTCCTCACTTCTATTTCATCAGAACACAGGGGGAAAAAAGACTGATTACATCTTACATCTGATAGCCGTGTGGATCAAATGAGAAAATCCAGAGATAACCCAGGTTTTAGCACAGCATTCGACTATATAAAAAGTTCCTAATCCCAGCACTTTGGGAGGCTGAGGCAGGAGGATTGCTTGAGCCCAGGAGTTCAAGACCAGCCTGGGTAACATAGTGAGACCTCATCTCTACCAAAAAAAAAAAAAAAAATAGCCAGGCGTAATCCCGGTGACTCAGGAGGCTGAGACAGAAGGATCGGTTGAGCCCAAGAGACTGAGGCTGTGTTGAACCATGATGGTGCCACTGTACTCCAGCCTGGGTAACAGAGGACCCCAACTCCAAAAATAAAACAAAAAGCTCCCATGTGGTTGCTACGGAGTAGGGTGTGTGGTGACACCATAAGGGGTAGCAAAAAGGAGATATGTGGGGTGATGGGACAGTCTGCATCTTGACTATATGCAAGCAACCCACCCAGGATAAGATGACACAGAATGATACACATGTATTGTGCCAGCGTCCAATGCCTGCTTTTGGTATTGTGCTATTATAATTCTGTAAGATATTCCCTGGAGGACACTGGGTGAAGGGACCTGGGCCCTCTCTGTACTGCCTTTTCAACTGTCTGTGAACCTGCCATTATAGAAACTTAAACCAGACAAATAAAAACTCTTGCTTATAACTGACTGATGAAAATATTTTATCTATTGGTGCATACTTGCTTTTGTATTTTTGTACACGTACTTAACAGCTGTCAGAACCTTCTTCCCAAGCTGACTTCATAGAAAGCATGTGACAGCTGGTTTGGGGTGAAGAAAGAGAAAAACCACAGAGAGGCACAAACCACGATTGGCCGCATCCAGTCCCTCAGCAGCAGTGGGGAGTAGGAGTCTTTGAAGAAGCGAAACAAATAGCTCTCAGAGGGCTGGACGCTTGTTCCGTCCTCAGCACCTGTGATGCAACACAGGATGTCCAGGCGATTTTTCTGATGGAACAAAGAGGAACAGAAAATATGCTCTGACCTCTTCATCCAGATTCTAGACTCATATTAAATACATGGGCATCCTGGTGGCACCTTACCTCTTGACGCTTAATGTCTAACCCCAGGAGACTCACAAAACAGGTGATCTGCAGAAGGAAGTCGATGAAGATCGCCATGCCAGCGAACAGGGAAAAAGTATGCACGGCTGGCATAAGGGACAACGCTCCTGCGAGATGGAAAGAGCTCATCACTTGTGTTCATGCCAGGGGCTCTGCAAGTCTCACATTCATGCGCACGCAGACGCCGGGAGCCGAAGCAGGCCAGACCCACAAGAAGGTGTGCTGCAAGGTCAACATCACGCCCGAGCTGGGCGGGGAGGCTGTGACCCAGTGCTTTTCAAAACAGTGTTGAAACCGGAGTTTAAAATGCCAGCTTCCTGGGCCCCAGCCCCAGCCTACTTAAGCAAGAAGCAATGAGACTTCAACACAATTTTACTGTATTCGGGCTCTCAGGTAAATTCGTGCACAATAAAATTTGAGAGCCACTCAAACAGGCCATTTCTTATAGTGCCTTCGAAGTTTCACTAGGAGAAAGGGGCAGTATTTTCCACCTGCTATTATATCAACTGTATTAGCTCCCAGTTTAGTCACAGTAAGAGGCAACTGGCAAGCAATGAGGGTCCCAGGTCCGAGGGTAAGACTCAAAGTGCAAGCAGGCAGCCCACGCGTCAGAGGTTCCTGCTCGGCCCACACTATGCTGGCCCACTTAAGCATTTACAAACTTTAAAGATTAAAAGCAGTCAATATTTAACAATGACATTTTACACACAAATCTAGGGTCCTGGCTTTGCTTAAAACAAAACCCCAACAGACCCCGTAGCACTGGGCCAGCCATACAGAACTGCCTTTCTAGACAGGATACACATACTCAGGGTGCCACATCTCCACCGCTCCTACTGTCCCACCAAGGTCACTCCAACCTTGAGGAACGGTCTCAGCTGCTACTATCATCATACTTGCACTGGCTCTGTTATGATAGACATAAAAATATTTTTTTTGTGCCTGTGTTCACCAAAAGGAACTCTAAGGGCTGCAGGTTTCAAAAGCATGTTGCTTTGTGGAAATCAAGAGTAACATGCTAGTAGTTCTGTGTTGAAAGACTACCGCCTATGACGACCTACAATGGCCCTTGTGAGAGGGACCTGGCCTTCATTTCGGGTTGTGACCCTTAGGCGGTGTGTCTCCTTTGGACTGGGTGATTCTAACCTGCCTCTTCCCTAGTGGACAGTCACTTATTTCTTATTACACTTCAGAGATGGGGCAGGCGGCCCCACTAGGGAGTCTATCTAGTTATTTCTCCATATGAAAGAAACACAGAAGTACTGATTTTTGTTTCAGATTATTCTGACTCCTTGTATTGGGTAAGATTCAAAAACCTCTGCTCTTTATTTAACAAGGCCGCTTCCCTGATGAGTTGTGTATACAAAGAAGAAAGACTATCCCTGCTAGGCACAGTGGCTCACACCTATAATTCCAGCACTTTGGGAGGCCAAGGTGAGAGGACTGCCTGAGCCCATGGGTTCGAGACCAGCCGGGGCAACTTGGTGAGACCTTGTCTTGACAATAAATTTAAAAATTAGCTGGGCATGGCAGTGCACCATGCCTGTAGTTCCAGCTGCTTGGAAGGCAGAGACGGAAGAATCAACTGAGCTCAGCAGGTCGAGACTGCAGTGGCCATGAGCTTGCCACTGCACTTCAGCCGGGGTGAGTGAGATTCTGACTCAAAAAAAAGAGACTCAAAAAAAAAAGAAAGACTGTCTTTGAAAACACTGGCAAACATCTTGCAAGATGGCGCCTGTGGGCTTGGGAGCTGTTGCTTACAGTGTTGTGTTGAAAAGGATTCTGCAGCTATGCAAGGATGCCCTCTTCACAAGTCAACACCCGCCATGGCTTCCAAAGGGAGTAAATGGCAAGGTGAACTCTAGGCCTCTTTCATCCTGCACCCCAGCATCAACACTGTCCTGAAACTCAACATTAAAAGAAGATGTTCCCAAAATGATACCCAAGGTCCTGCATTTTCTATAATACTTTCTAATTGCAGAACGAAGTTTAAGAAGGAAGGCAACACCAAGGGCACACTCAGACTCCCAGCATCTTCTCTTCCCAGGCTTCACAAACTACAGAATCGGTAGAAGTTAAAGCAAAATTACCTAAGAAAAATGCTACAGTCTCGGAAAAGGATGACAGGAACATACTAGGAGCCACCTCTCCTAGGACCCTGCCCAGCTGCTGATCCAGGGTTTCCCCTTGAAGATGTTCATCTCTCTTTAAAGAAAAAAAAATTAAATATGCAACATTAACATTTCTCAACAACAATGCCACTGCTTTGTTGCCTAGTGTTAACTCAAGGATACAGAAAAATGATTGGCAGATGGCCAGTCGTATCTTCGAGGCACATAAACTTGGGGGTGGGGGGGCGCAAAGTTCTGATGTTAACTCATTCAGAGAACCACTGAGCTGGGTGCCAGGTGAGAAACTCAAGGAAAAACTGGAGCGTGCATCAGGAAAATACATGGAGCATTGGCTGCAGGTGGCGAGACCATTAAACGACACTCTCACATGTCAATGAGTCTTCACCCAGGCAGGATCTACAGGATGACTCAGAGTACTTTCTACAGCAGTGGGTCATGTGTTGACCTTTTGCCTTTTTTTAGGGGCATCTTGGAACAAAACAAACCTATCATTCCTCCACACTATGCTGGATACATTTTAATACCAATTGGACCCAAAACATTTTCCAAAAGCTTGTTAGTCCTTCTTGCACTCATGTGGAAAAAAATACTATTTAAAACCAAATTTTCGGCTGGGTGTGGTGGCTCGCACCTGTAATTCCAGCATTTTGGGAGGACGGCTTGAGCCCAGGAATTCAAGTCCAGCCTAGGCAACACAGTGAGACACTGTCTCTACAAAAACATTAAAAAACATAGCTAGGCATGGTGGTGTGCACCTGTAGTCCCAGCTATTCGGGAGGTTGAGGCAGGAGGATTGCCTGAGCCCTAGAGGTTGAGGCTGCAGTGAGCTTTGATTGTGCTACTGCATCCCAGCCTGGGTGACAGAGTGAGACTCTGACTCAAAAAAACAAAAACAAATAATTCCTCCCCACACAAAATCCTTATATCTGTTTTGCCTACCAAAAAGAGGGGTAAAATTCTTGGTCCCCAAATGTTTAGAATAAGTCAGACAACCAATGAGTCATACAGGGGCAAGGAAATGGGATCCCCTACTCACAAAGAGCCGAACGGTCATTTGAAGCCCCCATGCCTGCAAGATGCCAAGGTCCGGAAGTGTATGACACTCACCTGGTAGGTCTGCACCAGAATGAAGATGTTGTCCACCCCGACAGCCAGCACCAGGAACGGAATGACTTCAATCACGATGAGCGTCAGGGGGAGCCCGACGTAGCTGAAGATGCCCAATGAGCACGCCACTGAGCTAAGCACAATCAGGATGCCCGCGATGCCCAGGGAGATCTTGGAATCCACCTGGCAGAGGTGACAAAGACAGAGATCCTCAACTGAGGGTTTCTGTCCTATGTGTTACTAAAAGGGCCCCATTTTTACTTCTTTACATGGGTATCGGGCATATCCAACCCAGAGTTAAAAGTCTAATTCTCAGTTTGAGAGAAGACATGAAAACATTTCTAGGTCTTCCCTAGCAACATATTTCACGAGCTCACATCCTTAGGTGATGGAGTGGACAAATTAGAAAACAAACGGATTATGTGAAATAAACTTTAAAACAGGCCAGAAAGTCGGAACTGAAGAAAACAGATGCAGGAAACACAAAATGTTACATAATGAATGAAGAATCGAGGCAAAATAAGACATCATGCTGTGTATTGCCATTAACCATAACACACAAAGCCGGGCTCGGTGGCTCAGCCTGTAATCCCGCGCCTTTGGGAGGCTGAGGT